ATATTGGCGCGACCGACGCTCGCCTGAACAGGAGCAGCAGCGACTGCGGAGACCGAAGAATCCGTGGCTGTCATAAGTGGGGAGGACAGTAATCGATTATCCATGACCAGATTTCAAACCTTTCATTATAAAAGTGCCCTGCGACTATATGGAGCGTTCCTACATTTATTTGATTAGAAGACACTGGTTAGGCACCATGAGAGCATCATAAATGCCTAAGACGTAGTATCGCCCTGCTTATGCCTTACTTTGTTCCTTTCTTTCACGAGTTAAGAAGTGAGGCAAAGCAGTTGCTTGAGCCCGGCGAAGCCGGGCTTCCAAGAAGGAGGAGAGCTCGGCGTTAGCCGGGCGATCTGACTGGTAAAGACATAAGTCACATGACATATTTCCTCAAAAGCGATACAAATAGTCTTGCTAAACAGATGTTGGAGTTCGACTAGTATAAGGGCGTTATACAAGCTATTGTTTTTAATTTAGCGAAAGGAGCTGCCTTATCATTCTTTGAGCCGCCAACCCAGAGAATGGTGAGAATTTCACGACGAGCGGCCAAAATATGTTGAAATTAAACTTGCCAAAGATTGTTGTTTTGTAGTAAAACAGACAACCTATGCTATTGTTACTCCGGCTGAGATGGCGAGTGTGTTTGCCTTTCCTGAAGTCGGCGAGAGCGCCGGATTAGAGGTTGTTGTTCGGCAGATGATCTTTCCTTTATCTGTGATGGAGGTGGTTGTGCTTGCGCATTTTGGTGGGAAACATCATCCGACAGACAACGAGGAGCATGCAACTTTACGCGGTTGACATGTACTACTTGTCGCATAGGGCGATCTACAAGGCTGCTTATGGTCACATTTGGTCGATCTACCGATTCAACCTTAAACGGACCTTTCCATTGGTTCGTTAGTTTCGGACGAACTGTGTCGTCATGCAACAGCACCAAATCTCCCATGGAAAGGCTCGTTGAGCACACCTTGTGGAGTAAGTCGTATCCTGTTTTGTAGAAGGGCGACTTCTTGGCTATTTGGTTTCCAACTTCTATGATGGTGTTGTTCAAGCCGACCGCGAACTGATCAGCGAAGTCATCCGAAGCGATGATATGACGCTGAGGCAGCTCATGGAGTATGTCACTCCATGTTATTGGATGTCTACCATGAACAACGAAGTACGCGCTATAACCTGTCGTCGCATTGATACTGCAGTTGTATGCGAAGACGATAGGTTGGACAAAATCTGACCATTGGTGTCTGGCCTCCGCACGGTATGCTGTTAAGGAGTCAATAATCACCTTCACTAGTCGTTCTGCTTGTCCATTAGCCTTATGGTTATAAGCAGTAGTAAATTTATTCTTTATACCGAGTGCTTTGTTGATTTTAGCGTACACCTCGCTAGTGTAATTCGAACCACGATCCGAAACTATTTCGTTAGGGATTCCATGCTTCGAAATAACATCATTGATCAGTGCTTTTACTACTGTATCAGTAGTCTGATCTACTGCCGAGGTGCATACTACAAATTTACTGAATGCACAAACGGCTATTGAAATAAATTTTCTGCCGTCCTCACATTGAGGCAGCGGACCAATTATATCTGTGTGAACACGTTCAAAAGGTCTCGTCGGCGTAGGGAAGGTTCCCATTTCCTCTCTGATTATACCTTTTGGAGGTGTTTTTACCTTTTGGCATGTCGGACATGTATTTATATACGTCGTTACGTCTTGATACAAGTTCGGCCAAAAGTACTTCTCCTTTATGCTTTTATATGTTTTTGCTATTCCTAGATGTGATCCAAGAAGAGGATTCTCATGAAATATAGCAATTATGCTAGTTTGCATACTTTCATCTGGAATAAGCAATAATTCCCTGCCGTGTATTTTATAGACTACAGAGGAATTGTTATGCATTGAGAAGTTTTTCAGTTTGCTTTGAAATTCTTCAGGTACATCCTCTAGTTCCTTAGTAAGAAACTTTATGATGGGACTGTACTTTGAATTTCTCTGCGTTGCTTGAATCTCGCTGGATAGAATTGATTTAGCGCGAAAACTATCGCCAAAGCTTCTAACTCAATAACTGCATAATTCTTCTCATGTTTATTTAATGCGCGACCGCAGTACGCTAGGCTGTTCTCCCTGCGTCTTTTTACTGTATTGAAGCAGACATGCGCCTAAGCCTGTAGTTGATGCATCCGTATGTATAATATACGGTTCTCCAGTAGGAGAAGCTAATAAGGGTGCTTCAACTAGGGCTTTCTTGAGAGCAAGAAACGCCTGTTCTTGAGCTTCACTCCACACAAACGGTGTGTTTTTGTTGAGGAGACTGTTAAGCGGTGTAGCTATTATTGAGAAACGCGGCAAATAACGCCTGAAATATGATGCGGCTCCTAAAAATGGCTTTAACGCTTTCACGTCAGTTGGACGTGGGATCTTAGCGATACTCGCGACTTTATTGGGGTTAGGGCGTGTACCGTTTTTGCTGACTAGAACTCCTAGGTATTCAATTTCTGTCTGGAAAAACGAACATTTTTCCGGCGACAGTTTCATACCAAAATTTCTTATACGTATGAAAATTTCCTCTTGGTCGACTAATTGTCGATTGACCGATTGGCTTGCAATAATTATATCATCAACATAAGCGAAACAACATGATTTCAATTCACGGATTAGGCTGTTCGCTGCCCTCTAAAATGTAGCTGGGGCACCTTTTAGCCCTTGGGCCATCACCGTGAATTGGTAGAGTCCTCAAAAAGGAGGAGAACGCAGTGCGTTTATGTTTCTCCAGTAAAGGAATTTGGAAAAACCCATTCTTGATCAAGAACTGAGTAAATTTCTTTTCTCCTGCAAGGTCTGAAATGTCTTGCATGTGGGGGATGCAGTAAGTCTCAGTTTCAGTTATCGCATTTATTTGACGATAATCCACTGTGAATCGCCATTGGTCTTTCTTGGGACCCTTTTTAACCAGTACTATAGGGGAAGCGAATTTGCTAGTGCTTGGTTCTATGATGCGCGTTCTTAGCATTTCCTCAATTTGGCGTTCTATTTCTTTCCGTTTTCCAGCGGCACACGGTATGGTCGCTGTTTTTGGGTGTTGAAGGGTGGGGTACAAAATTTATCCTATGTGTAATGGGACCCGTATAACGACCAAGGTTGCCATCATTCCCTACAAAACAATCCTGGTATTTATTTAATAATTTGTGAAATTCCTGGAGTTGCATGTTATTTAGAATAGAACTATTGAGTTTAATTTGATTTTTAATTGTTGCTGGTTGCTCAGTATTAGGAAAGTGAGGTAGATCTTTGGCAAAATCTGCCTCGGGAGGGATGTATTCGGGGGTTCCCTCATTTGTTTGAGAAACGTGAGAAGGGTCATTATTGTTGTAAACGGAAAATACTGGGTCCCAAGGCATTTCTACTCCCACAAAAGCTGCTACTGCTACTTTTGTATTTTTGAATAGAGTAATGGGAATGGAAGTGGAGTTGAAAATGCGTAGGTACACAGTGCCATTTATATGAGGACAAGAAAGGGTCTTGCCAACCTGGATTCCCTCCGGGAGCTGACATATTGGGTCATCTGAGTAAAGAGGCTCCCAATTACGAGGGAATATAGTATTGGTAGTTCCTACCACACACTATCAGAAAAAGGTTGTAAACAGTGTTATTAACATATGTAAACTGGAAGAGAGGGAAAATTATAGTTGTTATGGTTCGGGTTTGTGAATGGGACAGTGTCTTGTCAAAAGAAACAGTGTTAAGGTGTAGTAGTTTATCGACACTGTTTTGTCGCGAATTTGTGGATAACATCGTTGCCCAGAATAAACGGAGAGGAGCAGTTTGCATCAGAAGCGCGTAGCAAGTGATTTGCATTGTTCTCTGTCCTATAGTGAGATTTGGTGTAAATTGACCTAGTAGTTTCATGATGGATCCATTTGCTGTGATGCCTCTTGTAATCGTAGATTGAGGACAGGTTGAGCGTTCAACTTCGAGCTACTGTATCAGAGACAATCGTTAGAGCAGATCCAGTGTCAAGAAGAGCTACTATAGAGGAATCGTCGAGCTTTACCGGGACATATATCACTTGACTGGCATTTCCAAGATGGACTGAGGAGATACCTGGGAAGAAATTCCTAAACTGTTTAGCAGATTGCTGCATAGGTTGCGAAGGTAGGGTGATCATCGAAGACGGTAAAACGGCTTGCTGATGATGCGTTGGAAATTGGCGCAGCCGGCAGATTTATCATTTGAAGATGGGGGGCTGGAAGACTAGATGCTGGTACATTTATACATGCAGGAAGTTGAATTGACACACTCATTGGCTCACTATTAGAGACCGTGTTATTCCGAGATTGTCGATGATTTTTCACGGCTGCGGACGAGGGAGAAGACTTCCTTCTGCAGATAGAGGTGAAGATGAAAAACGTTACGCTACCTATGGCTCGGAAAAGAGGTTCAGCGGTATTCGAAACAACGCTGTTTGACAATATAGATTGCAACAGCAATCACTAAACAGGAGACAGATCGATCCGATGACAATCTTCCTGACCAAGTCGTGTAAACCAAGGGACTCGAGAACTTTTTCCTTTTGTGACTGGAGGAATTCTCCAGCATTGGATTCCAGAAACGCTGCTGTATCCGCTAGTTCATGTCCAACTTGATCAGTGATCGTTTTGTTCTTCTCTCGTTGATTTCGATGGTCCGGCATGTAGGTTGTCCATTGAGTTGAGATGGTTTTTGATAAGGTATAAAGTCAGTCGAAATTCTTGCCAAGTCCGAATGAAATATTGGAGGAGAATTAAAGATAAAGTTTTCTTGTGCTAGATTGTTAGGTAGATTTAATTGAATATTGGTCACTTGGCGTAACCCGAAGGTGATTTGTACTGATTGTTTCCATCATTGTAAATGCCAAATGGTAAATGTCCACAGTCTGCTTGTGGGCTGGTTTTAACAAGATCACGAGTGCCTGGTTGGATAAAGTAGAACTGTTTTCCAGATCTGACAGGTGTAAAAATATAACAAGTTCCTTTGATTTTATGGTCAAAAATAATTTCATCAACCACAATTTCTTTTGCATTTGGAGACCATTAGTACGTCTCCTGCAGACAAAGCGAAAATAATCTTCTCGATTGAGAAGTATTCGTGCTGCAGTGGTTGGATTGATTTGAGCAATGCTTTTTATGGAATGAGCTTTGAATTCATAAGAGAACAAATTTTATCCAGTAGGAAATTGAAATCCTGTCTTATAATTTCGTCCATTTTAATTTTCAAGAATTGCATTTTGGTATTAAGTTCTGCATGGCGATTATCTTGCGTTTGCTCATGATCAGTACCATGATCATGGTCATGACAGTAAAGTCAGGTTGTGACCGAAAAGCTAGATGTGAGCGATTTGACTTGACATATCCGTTGTAGGCGTATGGCTAGGATCTTGGTTATGAAGGGATCTCTTTTGCATTTTATGGATTAGTTTGTAAAGAAGAGGGAGGCTAAGGTGCGCTTCCGGATTTTTATCCGGTTTGTCTATTGGAAGCTCGTGCTCTCTTTTTTGAGAAGGGTTTAAATTTTGCTGCTTTGCTGTAACAAATCAATAGCGCTATGATGTGTTTGAACTTGCTGAGTGACTGTGGCTACTAAAGGCAAGAGTTTTGAATTGCGAAAATGCTTACGATTGATACTTTCAGCTATCTCAGGATGTTGAGAAAATAGAGATTGAGGACTGTGATCCTTAATTTCTGGCAGGACAATGAATACACCATTGTCCATGGGGATCGCAGAATTATTTAGGCACCATGTATTGAGCTGGGAGTGTGAGAATGTCACATTTTTGTACGTGAAAGCTGACTGAATGTTGTTAAGAACTATATGGGTAGGGGTCACATAAGCAACTCCTTCAGTAGCTTTTACATAGCGACATATTGATGTTGTGGGAGATGATGACCAAATAACAGTACCATGGGTGAGGTTACATTGATTTTTCTCTATGTTACAATGTGCCATGTTCCCGAATTGGCCTATTAAGTGATTGCCGTCGAAAGTTGCAATTGTTTCTCAAAATACACGTTCGTAGTGACTGTACATTTCTCTCCAAAAAACCATGGGTACGAGTATTTGATTTGATTCTGATCCGTACACATTTGCAGAAAGGAATTTTCTAAAGGAACATCCAAATGCTTTTTGGTTTGCGTTAATGATTCGCAAAGAGCAGGATCTATAGGAGTCATAAAGTCCTCGTCACTGTTAACCGAGAAGGAAATATGTAAGTATGAGGATGCGCATATTTTCCTAGTCTTATTGAAGCAATGATAAGCTGGCAATAATAAGGGTTCTGTCCGTTCAACATAAAGATCGGCTCCAGTGATCAAAACTTGGGATGATTTGGAGAGCTAGTGCATGTAACAGGATCAGGGAAAGCAATTGGCCAACCCGATTTTCCTGCTGCACATAGCTGATATTTAAGAGAAAATGCAGAAGAAGAAGCGATAAATGCGTTCAGGACTGTAATGACAAATAAGGATGTCATAGGTTTTAGAATGGATTTTGGACTACATGCTGATAAAGAGTTAACTGGAAAATTGCGTGAAGAATTTGATTGATGACGGGATGGAGATTGTGGACGGCGAAATGGAGAATTAGTGCGGTTGAATTGAGAAGTATTACGGCGAAATGGAGAATTGGGACGATTGTTTTGACGTCCTTGGTTTCTGTTATAATTAGGATTCATTGAATAGTTTTGTTGTCCCCGGAAGTTAGGTGATTGATTCCTATTATAATTCTGTGTATTGGGAGCGAACCTCACATTATTACGTGAAGGCGGTCCTCCATTGCGCGATGGGCTGCGGAAACGCGAATTGTTTCGATTATTACTTCGAAAGTTAGAGTTACCATTGTTTTCCCTAGCCTCAGATTTGGGATTGTAAGCACGGTTAGGTCTACGGCCAGATCTAGTAGTAGTAAGTACAGGGTTTCTATTAGAAATTATAGTATCAATAGCTCTATCGATTTTAGCTATTAGCAAATCCTCTTCTGGAAGAGATCTTGTTTTGATAATATCATACATTCGTTCTGCATCGCGAAGTAAAGTATCGTAGTTTGTGGGTAAGGGACCGAGGAGTTTCATTTGGTCTTTGGTTTTATTAGGTAAGCCATTAGTGAATATTATATCCTGTAAAAAGTTCCGTCTTTCTGCAAAGGTGGTATGGAGATATGCTTCCATGAGTTCTTTCTTTATTCTGTGAGAGAATAGTACAGGAGACTCATTTGGTTCCATTTTCATACACATAATCCTCTCTCTGGCCAAGTCTAGAAACTGATCTGTCGAGAAGTGCTCTTTGGTCTTCGTAACTGCTACCCTCCAGTCGGCTTTTTCATCATCAGATAGGTTTTCATAAACTGCTTTTGCCACTCCCTTAAGATGGGCTGGGAGTAGGCGAGCCATTTGGGCTTCGTTTATCCCCATTATATGGCTTATTTCATAAAATTCGTTTAGGAAGTTCATGAAACCAGTGCCCATATTCGAACCGGAAAATGTAGGGAGTGGTAGCATATGATGCTACGCAGAGCCTATCAAAAGCGGTTTCCAAATTGCTCATGGGCTGACTGTTTGAAGTTTGGTTGTTTGCCAGTTGACTCATGTCCACTGGAGTCTTCGAGGGTATAGGAGCGATTGAGCCCGCAGAAAGTTCCAGCACGTACTCGTAAAGTTGCGCAGTTACGGGCCTTACGTTGTGGTTTTGAAAGTTAGGGACGGTTGGAAACTGTAAGTCTGGTTTTGTGGTGGTGTCGTTACTTGGTTGCGGGGTAGGAGTGCGTGGCGCTTCGCTCGTTGTGTAAGAAAGCAGTGAAGAAAAACTGCTATCTAAGCGAGGGGCGGTTGGAGTTAGCTGCGGTGGTAAAGATTGGGCGCGGCTGGACCTAGGCTCCGAGTCAGAGCTAGCAATAGAATTAGCTGGTTGAGGGGGTGTGGTAGAGTTTTTGAGATTGGGCTTCTTTGGGAGTGAGAACTTAGGTAGGCGTGATCTAGAGCGACGCTTCACTGAATATCACCTTCCGCTAGTCTATGAAAGGGTCGTCCCTCTGAATCTGTATGTAATTCAGAGTCGGAACTGCTCATAAAAAGAGGGGACGATTAGCCGCTTTGATGCTGTGTATTACTTTTTTTATCAAAATTGTGTTAGGTGAGTTATAATACTCTATTAGATGCCAATGAGAGAGTTCCGAGGAGTTGAACCTCGAAAAAGATCAAGAATTCTCAGAAAAGAAGTAATGAAGAATGAAAAAAAAGAAGGAAAGGTTAATGAAGCTGATTGCTAATGTTAAAGACTCACTATTTCTTAAATGGATTGAGAAGGTGGAGTTACGTTGATCCTTTTGTGGAGGTGAAGGCGATCCTCGAGAGGTTGTTATCCTTGGTAGTTAGCTGTCGAGAGCAGAAAGCAGAGGCGCTAGTCCAGGTGGAGCTAGCTGTTGCGAATGAGTTTGGGGTCGTGGGTCAGCGTATATATGTGGGCTTTATTTACACTAAGTTAGTGAAGCCCCGCCCACAAACATGTAGGTTATTGTAGATATCTAAAGCTCGATTCATAAATTACTCGAAGACAAGGGTCGAAATGCCCTCCTGTCGGTACTTTTATAAACATATAAAAGATAACACGTTTTTCTCCTCGATGAGGGAGAAAGAACTACGAAACAAGGAAGATTCCCATGGACTTGCAGGCAAAAAAAATGAAACGAGAAGGGTTGTATTGATTTATATTGAGTTCGGTTCGAATTCACTTCTAATTCTCAATTCAAATTGCTGAAAATCGAAGGTTCTGAGGGGTTTTGTTTGGATAACACTGCTTGCAGTTCAAGTTTCCAAGGAATACTATTTTATTTCCTCAATTTGGAGCAGTTGCTAGCGTTAACTTTCTCGAAATCCTTGTATTCTACACAAAATATTGAATGAGTTCAGGAAAACTAAGCTAATAAAGAGTTTCGGGTGAGCCATGTGCTGAATTACGCTCGTTTTGCATAGCATTCGATTATAAGGTGCGCCTTATTGACGTTACCAGTCGCAACCTAACAAGTTTCTGATGTCATAATCATTTTCGGGCTATTTTCTTGTGAAAAAGTTGAGTTGTCCCTCGTTATTGCTTTCTACTGACTTCTTTGCACCTTCCTCGAATTTTATTTATGGCCCTTGTACAGTTATGTAAGATCTGAAAGAGATAATCACAAATTTCCTTGAAAAATCACCTTTAGAGCTGTGAAGTGATTTAATTGGGCGTGGGGCGTACTGTAACTGCGTAATGTGTGCAGCTGCACGCACACGCTATTGTGGCGCAGGCCATTCAAAATCTCCCTCGCGCCTATTATTGGCATTAGGGTTACGGTAACTGCCAGTCTGTGTGGTTGCACACAAGACATTTAAATGAGACTTTTTGAAGTAAAAATAGCTTTTTTCTTTTCTTTCTCCTGTTTTTTCGCCAGATTTGCTTTGTTTTATGATTCCTTCACTATTTTTTTATAGAATGAGTAAATTCATCTGTGTTATTGACCCCAATATCGCATTCTTAAGAGTTTTTTTTATTATTAGGAGCGCGCTATGTTTGTTCCCGTATTATATTGCTGAGAAACAATAAAACAACGCCGCTTACCCAAGCAGCGTTGCGTTAGCACCGCTATCCATTACAGTTGGACTGGCGTGTGTGTGCTCTTCCTGTCAGTCAACAGATTAGGTTATCGCCAGAACTTTTGCGCAATTTGTATCTGCTCGCTAATGCTAGGTTATTTGCGCAATGTGTTTTCTGTCAATGCCTGGGCGTTTGACGCACTTATTTGCGGGCGCCCTTTTATGGATTAGCAGAAACTTTATGGCCTTGCCAAGCATTGCATTGCTTACTAAACGAAATGGTTTAGTCCTACGCACGGTCCTGGGCATAGGTTTTACGCGAGGATTTGCAGTCCTGTTAGTGCAATACACCCTCTGTGACCTAGGGTAAATGAGAGTAGCTAATTCTCATGATTGGTACCTTTAACTTGAGTCGACTATATGGCGAACGAGTCCTTTCCCTTAACGTTAAACGGCAATATGGGGGAATTTTCCCCTAAAACTTGAAGTTGTAATTACTACTAAGACGTGATCTACTGAAGTCTTAGGTCTGTTAGGCACCGGAACGAGTTTCTTTTATTTTACTCAGAACCATCCTAGTCACCCATTCTCTGACAAAAGTAGTACGGACGTCAAAAAAAACAACTATGCAAGAAGAATCGTGGGCTTGACTGGACTGGGAGTTTTTCTCTTCCACCAACGGCCGAGGTTTCTATCAAGCTGAACGATGGTTCACAAGCTACTGCATTAATTTCGACTGTGACCACTGGCAAAATGGGCCGCGAAAGGGGATCTCGTCGCTGATAACGTGGAGTGCTTGGTTTTTAATGCACAGTGTGCATTTCCAAGTACAAGTTAAAAACTAGACTCATGCAAAAGAAGAGGTAGAGCATCCTCCATTCCTCTAATTTTGATTTTTTTCAATTTTAAATTTTTTGTGAAATATGCATATTCAAAACAAAAAAAAATTGCAAAGCTTACCTGTAAGCAGTAGATCGTCCAGTGTAAAATTCCTTCCCAAGTCTTCTTCTGATATGTGCACTTATCAAGACGAAGGGGGGGGGGGGTGGTTTGGGTAGGGGTGGGGAAGGGACCTACTTGAAAGAGATATAATTTTTTTTAATGAAAAAAATTTCTTGTTAGATAAAGTTATTTCCAAAAGTATGTAATACTCAAAAAAATTGATCTCGCCAGGACCTCCATATCAGATTACAGGTTCATGACTCCTGTATCTGAAGGTGTGTAGCGGTTTTTGAATACAAAAGTTTTAGGCTATACATATTATCATAATAACATCAAAGGGGAAAGGAGGGAGTGGAAGACGGTCGGGGTGGACCGTCACATCGTGAGTACTCACTACCACTGGCGTCGTCTCGTCTTCCAGTCGCCTTGCGCCAGCTTCCTGCGATACCGTAATCTCGGGCCACGCCCAGCCAGGTCGTGGACCCGACACCTTGCTTACACTTGTTTCTTAGCCGGTATTGGCCCTACCTTCCCATTACAAATACACCAGAGAAAGGACTTCCCCGAACAAGTCATTCCCATTTTTCATCTCTCAGACATGCTTCCCCGGTTACACACACACTTTCACCATTGGGGGACTAAAACCGGACGTGGTCATGTGCCAGTCGAATACCCCTGCAATTCCAAATTAAAACCAGATGTGTGATGCAGAACAAAGGGAGACTAAGAAAGAGAAAAAGAAACAAGCAACGTACCAATCAATACGAGCGCATTTAGTACACACAACGTGAAAAAAACGTGGAAACTGAGAAGGGCAAGTCTTGGATAGAATGAATATCTAAAACGACTTAAGAACCGCTAGAACAACTAAGCGATTCTTAATTTTGAGTCGATACAACATAAATTCGAAAATAGTTTCGCAATCCTGCATCACTTCTTTGCTCTCGTCTGTTCTCTCCTTCCTCCATAGCGTTCTATGACCATTATGACGTAACTTATTTCAAATGTTGCAGGATATGTCAGGCGCAAATCCTCCCTCCTCCTTCCATTTTCTTCCTCTGTCCTTCTCCTTGCTTCGTTCTCCCTTAGCTCTTCCTTCTTTTCCTCTCGTCAAGTGCTCGGGCAGTATGTACAAATACCCGTGGACCCTCGCAGCGAGAAAATATGGCATCTGGCTGACAGAAGCCCCGTAAGCAATTCTAACCTCTCACACCTTAAAAGCGACTCACCCCCCCCCCGGACAACAGCTCGTTGAAAATCCCATCTCTGGTCCACTACTTGTTCTTGCTCTAGGGTACAGTTACAGCCACTACATCAAGGGGCGGAATATTGTACCAGGGAGGTTACAGGATTCTTGTCAAGCGCACATGTTCTCACTACGAGGGCCCAGAGGTATTTTTCGATTCCGTTTACTGGTCCAACAGTTGAAACAGAAGGAAAGGGAGGAGGGAAGAGAGGGAGGAGAAAGAAATGAAGGAAGGGGGAAGAAAAAAGGAAGGAGGCTCTGCGCAAGTGCCCTTATTGTTAGACGTACCGTGAATGGGTACATACAGTGCGCCCTCTAGGGCAGGATAATGGCAAAAAGTCATTTATCTGCTTTCCAACGAAAAATCAACTAGAAATAGAAATAGAAATGGAAAAGAAATAAAAAGGAATACTTCGAAAATGGCCGGGCTTCCGATAGCTTTTCAGCACAGGCTCACAATGATCGATATCGATTAGTGTGGGGGACTCCCGATCAGGTCATGTGCCACTGTCATTAGAGTTATGCCAAGGCTAACTGTAAGTCTTAACATGAATGAGGAACCTGTAGTCTAATTTGGTGCGGACGGTTGGGCGTATCGGGCAGTATAAGTGTTCACGCCGTCTAAGCCGTTCTCTGCCTTCTTGTTGAAGCGCGCGTGCAACAAGCAGAAGTAGAAGACGATTAATACGAACGATATGATTTGGTGGGAGACGTGCAACAGAATCGTCCGGGGCAGCACCCGCAG